TCGCCCTGATTTTGTACCATGCGACCGCATAGTACATTTTTGTGCAGTCGCACAAGCCAAGAAATTTGGCTTTGTCAATTCTCTGTCGACCACCATGCGACCACATGGTGTTTTACACTATAAGGTTGCATAGTGTTAACTCGTGACTCCATTTTCGATTGTTTTTTTCACTTGATCCAATTAGTTTCGGCTCTCGACCCCAACATGGAACTTGCCCCACTTTGTGCCACAATCAATGCATCTCAATTGTTGATTGAACAAATAGCGCCATCACTTGCTTTACCCACTCTGCCCTCAAACGCATCATCGTTGCACCTTCGATAATTAAATGGTCTCGTCCTAGGCTCTTCTTAGTTGGGCTTAGCTTTTGGATCACATTATCCCCTTCCTCTTTAAAAGGATTCATCCTCGAATTTTAACCTGCATCAAAGAGAGAGATTAGATATATTAAAAGTTGTCGAAACATTATATTTACCTGGGAGATCCAATTGTATGCATTGTCGTTGATCTTCTCAATGACTTAAAATGATCCATCTCTCCATGGTTGCAACTTGGATTTTCTTTGCGAAAGCGTTCCATTCTAAAATGTACGCAAAACCAATCACCCAGTTCAAATGTCAAGCTTTTTCGGCCCTTGTTCAGCTGCAATGTAATGAGTTTGTTCTTGTTCTCGATCTGCATCGTAACCTTTTCATGGAGTGACTTTACCAATTCTACCTTTCTTTTACCATCTAAGATACCACATTTATTGACAAGCAAAGGTATTAAATCCATATGTATTAGTGGATTAAAACTATAAACAATTTCAAACAATGAAAACGAAGTAGTAGAATGAATGGCCCTATTGTATGTAAATTCAATGAAAGGCAAACACTCTTCCCAACTTTTCAAGTTCTTATTGATCACCGTGCCCAACAACTGACTATTGATTACTTCAGTTTGCTCATCGATTTGTGGATAACAAGTTGTAGAAAATGCCAATTTTGTGCCTTATTTACCCCATAAAACCCACCAAAAGTGACTCAGAAATTTGACATCCTGATCAAACACTATACTCTTAGAGACTCCATGTAAACGCACTATCTTCTTAAAGAATAAATCAGCAATGTGTGTGGTATCATCAGTTTTATGACATGGTGTGAAATGTGCTATCTTGCTAAACCTATCTATACTAAAGATTGAATCTCGTCACTTCTTGGTACTAGGTAAACCCAAAATAAAATCCATCGTATTATCGACCCACTGTTCACTAGAAGTAGGTAAAGATATATACATCCCTTGGGGTAAAACCTTAGACTTAGTCTATTTACAGTTTATGCATTGACTACATATTCGTTCAATGTCACTTTCATCATAGGCAAATAAAAATGTTCATAAAATTATTGATGGCAAATGTAGGTCTAAGGTAAGTGCAAAAAGTACAATGTATTTTTTTAACTGTGGTATTTTGAACTTATTGAAACAGACTGCCCTAGAAGAATAATTGAAGGAAAGATAAGGAGAGAGGTGATGCAAATATAATCACTGGGTGTAGTTATGACCCATGTGAGGTTTATTGAGAATAAACTTGGTTACTGTATGTGCATCTATAAGTACTCCTTTTTGTATATGTGATTGATTAATTCTTTCGCATAGTTATATGTTATATTTCAATATGTTTGATATGTACATTTGCATAAATTTAAAAGCATTATGATTATTTTGTGTAATATATTTGCATACATAGTGAGTTGATATCTATGGCACAATATTTTGGCTCTTTTAGTGGTGTAAGATAGTGTGATAGCGAGAAAAAAGAGGGAAAGCCATTTTCTAAGTTTGTGTGGTTTGTGAAATTATATAGGATAGCCATGTGTGGGTTATCTTCTTGCTGTCTATTCTCTTTGTGAGTACTACCCTCATCTTTCTCTTCGTGGGATAAATCCTTGGTGGATTTCTTTGGCTTTGGTGTTGAAGTAACCTTGATGCGAACCCCGTACCAGCTTGACTACGAAACCCACAACGAGATTGATACAAAACCTATAAAAGCCTAATTAAAGATTTAGAGTTTGAACCCCAAATTAATGAACCAAAAATCCCAGCAAGAGCGTTGCTTGAAGGACCCCTTGATTACATAATCCAAGATGCGTACCCGAGTTGTAGAACGCCATAAGAATTACGATCCTTGATAAGTTCCAATTTTTCAATGAAAAATGAAAGAAGAAAACACAATTGCCTCCCTATTAAAGTTCTCTCAAAATAATGTATAAAGTGTGTAAGGTTCACAATGACATAGAAATTTCCTATTATACTAATTGCCCAAAATCTATTAAAAATGTGTAAAGACTCATCCAATATTACAAAGATATGGAATAAAAATAAAATCTTACAAAATATGGAAAATTCGAAAAAGCAAGTATTCGCCTAAGTTTTGTTCTATGAGACCGCATAGTTACTTTGAATGCGGTCACATAAAACAGTTTGCAACTGCCTTCAAAATTTCCTGGATGGTTTCATGCAGTCACATGCATATTACAACTATGCGACATTGTTCATTCGGGCTTCATCTTCATCCACTTGTATTGAATTGATCCAATTAGTTTTTGCTCTCGACTCGAACATGAAAGTTGCCTCGTTTTGCGTCTCAAACATCATCCAATTAATGATTGATTAAATTAACAATCCTATTACTTGTTTCACTCGCTTTGCCCTCAATCGCGTCATCGGTCTGCCCTTGATTATCAATAGGTCTCATTCCGCACTCACCTTCGTTGGACTCGACTCCTAGATCACATCATCCCCTCACTCATCAGAAAGATTCGTCCTCGAATCTGAACCTGCATCAAAGAGGGAGAGATCAGATACATTAAAAGTTGTCGAAGCATTATACTTACCTGGAAGATCTAGTTTATAAGTGTTGTCATTGATCTTCTCGATGACTTGAAATGGACCATTTCGTCCCAGTTGAAGCTTTAATTTTCTTTGCTCTGAAAAATGTTCTTCCTGAATTGCACCCAAACCCAATCTCTTGGTTTGAATGTTACACATTTTATTCCTTTGTTTGCCTGCGATGCAACGAGCTTGCTTTTATTTTCGATTTGTAACTTTACCTTCTTGTGAAGTGATTTTACCAATTCTACTTTCTTTTTACCATCTAAACTACCTCGCTCATTCACAGGTAACGGAATTAAATCCAATGGTGTTAGTGGATTAAAATAATAAACAATTTCAAAAGGATTAAATGAAGTAGTAGAATGAGTAGCACGATTATAAGCAAATTCAACAAAAGGTAAACAATCTTCCCAATTTTTCTTGTTCTTGTTGATTACCGTACACAGAAATTGAATCATCGTCCTATTGACTACTTCAGTTTGCCCATCGGTTTGTGTGTGAAAAGTTGTAGAAAATAATAATTTTGTACCTAACTTATCCCACAAAACTCACCAAAAGTGACTTAACATTTTAACGTCCCTATCCAACACTATACTTTTTGTAACCCCATACAAACGTACTACTTCCTTAAAGAACAAATCAGCGATATGTGTGGCATCATCAATTTTGTAACATAGCATAAAGTGCGCCATTTTACTAAACCTATCTACCACCACAAAAATTGAATCCCGTCCTTTCTTAGTCCTAGGTAAACCTAAAACAAAATCCATTGAGATATCAACCCAAGGTTCACTAGGTGTAGGAAACGATGTGTATAGTCCTCGAGGTGAAATTCTAGACTTAGCACATTTGCAAGTTATGCATCGACTACAAACTCTTTCAACATCACTTTTCATCTTAGGCCAATACAAATGCTCACCTAACATCTCTAAGATCTTCTGTATCCCAAAGTGCCCCACAAGTCCACCATTATGAGTCTCTCTCACCAATAACTCTCGTATTGAACAATTAGGTACGCATAATTTATTTTCCCAAAATAAATAAAGTTAGCAATGTATACCTTCGAGACAACGCATCTGCGACTTTACCTTGCTTATACTTGATGACGTATAGAAATGTTTCAATAAACCCCATCCATCTGGCATGCCTCTTGTTCAATTTTACTTGACCCCACAAATGCTTCAATGACTCATGATCAGTGTGAATAACAAATTCCTTTGGCCATAAATAATGCTGTCAAGTCTCCAACATTCGAACAAGTGAATACACTTCCTTATCGTATGTTGGGTAATTCAATGCAGCTCCACTCAACTTCTCACTAAAATAGGCTATCGATCTTTTGTCCTACATCAAAACTGCTCCAATACATATCCCTAATGCATCGCACTCAATCTCGAAAGTTTTGTTAAAATCAGGTAACAGTAAAATAGGTGCCTTAGATAACTTATCCTTAATCATTTTAAGTGCATGTTTCTATTCATCGCCCAACGAAAACCTACACTTTTCTTGACGACCTCTGTAAGTGGTGTATTGATTATGCTTAAGTCTTTTACAAAATATCCTATAAAAACCAGCCAATCTATGGAAGCTTCTAACTTCAGTTATGCTTTTAGATGTAGGCCAATCTTTAATAGCTTTAATTTTCTCATCGTCCACTTCTACCCCATTAGCACTAACTACAAATCCTAGAAATACCACTTTTTCCATGCAAAATGTACACTTTTTAAAGTTAGCATACAATTTTTCATTTCTTAATACTACACGTACACAACATAAATGTCCCACATGTGCATCAAGATTTTTGCTATAGGTTAAGATATCATCAAAGTATACTACAACAAATTTTTCAATGAAAGCATGTAAAACATGGTTCATTAAGCGCATACAAGTGTTCGGTCTATTTGTGAGTCCAAAGGGCATAATAACCATTCACATAAATCCTATTTAGTTTTAAATGTCGTTTCCCATTCATCACTTTCCAGCATACGAATTTGATGGTACCTACTTTTAAGATCTATTTTACTAAAAATACAAGCACCATGCAATTCATTTAACATATCATCTAATCTAGGGATAGGGTGATGATACTTTACCATTTGGCACTAGTAACAATGAAACGACACACAGACTCAAGCATTCCTGAACATTGCCTTTTCCATCAATTCCTCCACTTGTCTCTGAAACTTCTTAGTCTCATCAGGATTACTCCGATAAGCTGGTCGATTATGAATAATTGCTCCAGCTATGAAGTCAATTTGATGTTCAATTCTCCGAATAGGTGGTAATCCACTCGGTATATCCTTCAGGAATACTTCTTGAAATTCCTGCAAAACAGTTTTAACCAAACTAGGGAAGGGATGTTAGCTTCCTCAAAATTGAGGAGTAATTCCTTATACAACAATAAAAGCATCTCTCTCCTTTCACTTATTGCCCTCCTCAACTTACTTTCTTTCGCAAATAAATTCACATGTGATTTTTATTTTCTCTTGGAAGACTCTCTTTCTTTTCTCTCTTGTGGCTCCTCTTTCTTTTTCTCTCTGATACACACCTCACAATTTTCTCTCTTGCTCACTATCTCATAGTTTTCTCTCTGTTTCTCTTGCTCATATATTTCTCTCCTCTTCTCTAACTCACTCCTTTTCCCCTCTTCCTCATTCCTTAATTTAATTTGGTCCTCAAGGACTTGCACCGATGTTAATAGTACAAGAGTGATAGGCCTCCCATCCTTGACGAAACTGTAGCAATTTTTATACCCATCATGCATAACCTTCCTATCATATTGGCATGTTCTTCCCAATAAAATATGCCCCGCTTGCATCGATACCACATCACATATTATTTTGTCTCGGTAACTACCATTTGATATATTTATTAACACCCTTCTATTAACCCTAACTTCTCCACTTTCATTTAACCATTGCAATTTATATGGCCTAGGATGTTTCAACAATGTTAAATTTAACTTCTCTACAAGTGCTATGCTAGTGAACATTTGTGCAACTTTCACTATCAATAATTATACTACATTCCGTATTGTTGACGTGTCATCAAGTATGGAAGATGTTCTCCCACTACAACTCCAATTCATTTGCCTTGATGTGACTAGTAAGAGCTCTACTTGTGACGGGTAAATCCCCAATGGCTCCTTCATTTTTTTCTCCATCACTAACCTCCTCCAAGGCCGGCTCGTCATAGTTGTCTTCACTTTCGATCGCCACCTTTCCATTATCCCACCACTCGCGGTGTGCCCCGACCCCAAGCACCTAAAGCACTTGATGTCTCTACTACTTGATGGTTGCAACTCTGGTTTTGGTATTGTTTTGCTAGCACCTTCATCTCTTCCCTTTTGCCAATCATTCCTACCTTTAGCTACAGCCTTGTCACCTTTATTATTAGCCCACCTCGGCTTCCAAGATGAATTATGTAATGCCCCAAATTCTCAGTATTTGAAGCGTAGAAGGAAATCATTTCTTAGTTTGACCCCTTGATGTTAACAATAATAAATGGTAAATGAGAAAAAATTTTGAGTTTGAGATATATAAAAATAATGAGAGATATTTGTCAATGTAAACTTAGATGATTATGGTAAAATTTGATTTCTGGAAAACATTTGGGAAAAATACAGCAAATGCGGGTTACATGGCAATGGAGAAAAAATTATGATTGGTCTAGTAAACAACGACTAAAATTATGAAATTTTAACGGAGTCTAAAGTATTCATATATATACCACATATAAAATTTTGGGGTCTCGAAGATAAAGTTTGAAGCAAAAAAATATTGTTCGAATATGCTGGACGAAAAAATCGGATTCGACACAACGCAGTTTACTAAAACGGGCATAACTTTTTTTGTACATAATATTTTTGAGAAATTTCAAAGTCCACTATTAGAAGACTAATAGACCTTTAAAACCCCACTGATCACACTTTAAAACATGCATATAGCCCAAGTTATACTATTTTCAAATAGGAGGCGGAATCTGAAATTTTTAACACAACATGAATTAAATTTCACACATAATCAATCCAACACATCTAAATTCTTTTTAACATGCATTACCCATAAAACTAGACAAAATAAACTTTAAAAGTATTTCTAAAAAATGTCATCTAAGTATCCATAAAATATTCACATAAATGGAAATTTTTACTAGAAATTGAAACCATTTCAGATCGCTGAACATTTGCCACTATGCCAACCACTGCCATACCTCTATCTTAACCTATCAATTTTTTTAGTAGGGATGAGTACGATAAATAATACTCAATAGGAAGCACGTAAGTAAATAATAAAAAAATATATTTTCAGAAATGCAAACATTAGTCGATTGTGTCACCGTCAATTTCAAGCGAATTGGTGATCAGTCAAGTCAGCTTACTTGTAGGTTAACCAACCGGTGATTCCAACATATCTTGTGTAAACCACCAAACGGTGATTCCATCATGAGTAACCACTACAAAAAAATGGCCTCCACCGACCAATGTTTCAGCGACCAACAAAACTTGGTTGCTATAAGTCATGTTCACCGACCAAAGGTTGGTCAGTGAAAGTGTTGGTACGCTAAAGTAGAATAATTTTTGAAAAGGCATTCATCGACCAATATCTCGTCGCTGGGGCAACTATCCAGCGACCAAAATCATCATGGCTGCTATACAGCTTGGCGGGAAGAACCCGCGCAATTTGGTAACTCGTATAGCGACAAACTAAGTGGTCACTGTATATGTCAACATCCAGTGACCAATCTGTGGTTGCTAGTACCATTATCCAATGACCAACATGGTAGTGGCTGAATATAAATCCTCCAGCGACCAAAATCTGGTTGCTAGTACTGTTATCCAGCTACCAACTTTGTCCTGGTTGGTATGTAGCTTGGCGAGAAGAATCGCGCATAACTTTGGTAACTCTTTTACTGACCAATGTTGTGGTTGCTGAATATATAAGCTTTCAGCAACCCGCAACTAGTCACTGGAACCAAGATTGGCATGGTTGGTATATAGCTTGGCAAGATGTAGCCTCTCCTTTAGCAACCAACATGGTGGTCGCTGAGTATTTAGGCCTCCAGTGACCAAGTTCTTGTCGCGGGTACCGTTGCCCAGCACAACGTGAGAAGTACCCCACATCCTCGCCTAAATATCTAACACGTTTAGCGACCAACATAGTTTTCACTGCATATGGATATATATAATCCTTTAGCGACCAAGATTTGGTCGCTGGTACCGTTCCTTGCCTAAATTTCTAACACCTTTAGCGACTAACCAAGTGGTCGTTGCTAATTATGTTGCTAAATATGGCTGGTTTGCTAAATCCTTTAAGCTATTTATCTATCAGGATATAATATGCTACTATCCTAGAAGTGATAAATCCCATCTCGATCAATTTTAATATTGCACTTGTTATGCTCAATTGGTGTTGTATAAGCAATGTCAATATTTAGGGCCAACATATTCGAAGTATGATGAAATTACCATTAATTGTCATGGCCAATACTTACTCAAAACTGACCTAGTCGATCTGGGGTACTTCTAATCCAAACTGAACCACAAAGATTTGAAAACAACTTGATCAAGAACATATTTTGTCATTTATTCTTTCAGTAGTTTCAATTAGGACTTTGGCCTAAATCAAATAATTGTCAAACAATTTTAGGGTAAATTTCATTTTCAGCATCGATACAACATCCTGGTTAAAATGAAAAAGAAAAAGAAAAGAAGTAATACAATCGTCCTTTTCCATTTGCTATCCATTTCAATACAGTGTAAAGGATGAAAGATTTCAGTTTCAATTTTTGCTTTCGTAAGCACGTCCGACCGTTAACTCCTTGAGTCAGTATCGCCATTTCTAATATCGTCTCACTGTCACAATTGTATGAAGGAAGTCCATCTTAAAACGTGACAAATATAGCTACCCCATTGTTTTTTTTTTTTTTTTTTTGCCTATCAAGCAAGGCCTAAATTAACCTCTTAAAGGCGTACCGTTATCACCAGGAATTGTTATATCAAATTTAATCAGCTCAATAAACAAATCAACACAAAGCTATATTCACGAGGCCATTTCATAAAGTGGAAATTACGAGTTTTCGACATTTCAAGATCACAATGCAAAAATTAGGTGGTAAGATTTTTTATTCAAAATTCTAGTATTGATTGAACTATTAATATGAATAATATTTAATATAAAATATATCAACCCCAATTCCAAACCCTATCATTCATTTTAATCCAACTTCTCTCTTCACTCTCTCCAATTAACTCACACCCCCTACGCCACCGCTCGCTGTCGAACTCCCAGTGACGATCATCCATCGGCTCACTCAGGTAGAAGTGTAGCAACTACGATGAATGCAGCAGATGCCTTAAAGAGCGACAATGAATGCTGTCGCACGAAACAGTTGCGACGCACAATCGTCGTGTTTTTGAACGAAGGTGGACAAATCTGTGAGATTGTGGACTGTTTGGGGCTATGAGATTGTTGAAGAGGTCGATGTATCAATTGATTGTATTGGTTGCTTGATTATTTTCATGTCAAACTCCAAAATTTAATTTTATTGGCTTTATTGGGTTCGATTCAATCTCATTGTGGGTTCGTAGCTACAATAGCTACGTGGGTTCGCATCATACCCCATTGCTTTTTTCTCTTTTTTAATTTTTAATTTTTGCTTTTGAGCAATGCCTAAACCTCTTTAAGCCATGCCCTTATCAGTTATATCGATAATGTCAAGAGCATAGAAAGCATCTCAACTCTAAAAGGAAGCTCATTACAAGGAAAAGAATGGATGATTGCTTCTCTAGAAGCACCCATACTATCTTAGGCCGGTCTTGTCAGATATTCTAGAAATATTCGAGAAAGGAAGAATGAAAATAGTTTTTATCAAAATTAGACCAAACCTTATGACGAACGGGCAAGCAAGTATAGCAAGGATATATCGGCCACAATCCTCAAGTAAGATATGAATGTTACGGATTAGCATCTGGACCTGATTACAGAATAAAATCCTATAGTGCATGCAATGTAAATGGAGTTCGTTATCGTACAAAAATATGTATGGCTGGACATGTCACACAAAATTGTGGCACTTGTGTTGCAAGTGACACTACAAAAAAGGAGGTAATAGAGATGGAATTTTATCGACAGAGAAATTCCTTTGCTATTATCAACAGAATTATAAGAAATTAGCCACGGAGTATATTTTATTATTATTATTAAAAACTAAATATTAAATTAACGACAGTTTTGCCATCAGAGGACTTTCGTTGGTAAAATTTCGTTACTAATCAATCGACAAAAATTTAAAAAAAATAATAAATAATCAATTAAATAATTTAGTGACTGAATTTTCCAACAAATGATTCCATTGGAAACAATATGAAAGATGGTAAATATAATTACGAACGGAAAAATCTGTTTGTAAACATTGGAACTAAAATTATAAAACTATTATGTAGTTGCCAACGAAAAAAGTTTGTCGCAAAAAAAATTTGAAATAATTATTGAACATTTTCCTAGAATTTGGCTTGCCTCTAGAATTTCATTTCCCTCTATCCAATTTGCTCTCAAATACTCAAAGTATTTCATTTCCTCTCAATTTGAGCATTGCTGCCTCCCCGCTCTGCCTCTCTCAAATAGAAGCCCTAAAAAGATAAATCATTATCAGATCAAAAAAAAAAAAGCCATTCACTCTACCCCCCGTCTCCCATTGCCGCTGCTCCTCGTAGAAGAATCAGATTACAAAAAATTTCGATCTTACATTGTCGCTATACCTGGTACTTCTATTCAGTGACCAACATTTACGTGGTCGCTATACCTCTTGGCAAGATGAACCTCGCCTAATTTTTTAACTCTTCCAGTGACCAAACTAGTGGTCGCTGCATGTATAATCCCCCAGCGACCAATATCTGGTCGCTAATACTTCTATCCAGCGACCAACGTTTATGTGGTCGCTATACCTCTTGGCGGGATGAACCCTACCTAATTTTTTCTCTCTTTCAGTGAC